GATCGTTGAAACTACTCTTTCGTAGAATTGGAGGCGAAATCACGCCACTCGGGTGGACGAGTAACAAACGGGCGGTAAAAGTAAAAAGAAAGAAAGAAAGAAAGAAAGAAAGAAAGAAAGAAAGAAAGAAAGAAAGAAAGAAATCGCGTGAATTCGTGAGACTGTGCGTAGAACGAGTGAAAAATCAAAGCGAAGATTACTCGTCAACGCGACGACTGATGATGTGTCGTTAATTAAGGAAAAGCCACGGCACTCATTGGCTGCGTCTTCGTCTTTCGTCGCCGTCGTCATCTTGCAGCCCGTTTCTAGCAGGCCGCGTTACAACCCCGTGATATGTTGCTCCAGCTTCTAGTGCACCGGGGGTTAACGGAGGAGCGAAATACGGAGCCAGGATTTAGGAGCTCTTACGTTATTCAGTCTCGTTGGCGAATGGAGTAATGCACGCGGATATAATTCAGAGATTCGGTAAGAAAGGAAATTTACTTGATACATCGTGCAGCCGTTAAGCGTATCATTAACATTAAATTTCGGCTGGTTTCGGTGCGTGTCGGAATACATATATGTACATGTATGTGTCTGGCGTTAGTACGAGTTTTGGCATGCTCATTGAAACAGGTGTAAGATGGCAGCATCCAGTAGGCAATTCTACGCTGCTCAGCTTCGTCCTCAATTTTTTTCTTTTTTTTTTACGTATATATATATATATATATATTTATCCACGTATGTTCGCAGCTCGTCGGCGACGTACGTTCAACCAGGCCGTATTTTAGGGAGTCTGTTATATACTTTATACGTGGAACTTGCTCGAGATAACAGGAAAATTGCCAATATTCCAACGAGAGAAACTCTTGTTTCGAACGATTAGAAACGCGGTTTCTCGTTTTCCTTAATCGACGTATGAAATAACCGGGAGAATTAACCCGGTTTCGGTTTCATACCGCATTTTCCTAACGAAAATTCACCGTTGCGTTTTCAAATTTAGCGATTCCTACCTGGGAATGGCAGCGTGCATATACCATCGCTGCAATCTGCTTCCATATATGTTATAACACAAAGTTTGTTTACGCGTTACCGATTCGCCGGTTATTCAATGAAACTAGATATTGACGAGAGAACGTTACATCAAAATTGTAATGGTAATAGTCGATTCTCGAAGAGAGTTTATCCTGATCAAGTAAATATCAATCAGCGGTACAGTGATACCGATCCAATGAAATTAGTCGATGAAAATTAATGTTGTACGTTTTCAGACAGGTATGTTGTCGATTGTCGTGCCGCCGGACTTCATTCCCGAGGAGACATCGAGCGATGTCATGGTGCGCGAAGGAGGACAGGTAAGTCGATATCTAGTCAATCTTTTCATGGAGTTTAGTGGAAAATTAAACGATACTGCTTGTGTACGTATGCACGTATTTAACCGTGTAGCAGTAGATATAAACGCGTATTGCAATTCCAATATACTTGGAGAATATATAGATACGCACTCGGTTCAAAAGGTTGGAAATTTTCATCCGGGGTCGGTCAGTTGTGGAAAGCGAGTAACATACTTTTTTTTTACACGCGTACGTTACGAAAGAAGGCAAGAAAAGTCTTACGAATATTGCTAAACAATTTTGATAACCTGTTGCGTGTTTACCCATCGTGCACGCGAGTGCGTACTTTCAAAGTGCACACACACACACATCTATGTATCTACACGTACACATAGTACACTCGTAGCAACAGACTCGTGTAAACGTGTAAACGTTTGCATTTTGCCAGTTTTCTTATCAAAGTTAATGCCGCCATGCAAGAAATATTACTTTACTTCGAGTGTCGGCGGTAAAGTGGCTTTCACAGTGGCTTAGTTGGACGGTGTGCATTTCTTGTCGCGGCTGTGTAACACAGTGGCTCGGTCGACGATATCCACGATGTATATATATATATATATAT